TGGGGGACACACTGGACAGGTCTCCAGTCCATCACAAGGACACATAGAGACAAACAATCGCTCTCTGTCTCAGTCACACCTAGAGACAATTTAGAGTTACCAATCAGCCTAACATGTGGGTTTCTGGTCTGTGGGAGGAAACCAGAGTACAGTCGACCCTTGTTTATTGTGGGGAATCCGTACCCTGACGACCCGTGATAAGAGAAAAACCAAAAAGTAAGAATAGTAGTACAAGTAGTAGTTTATTTTATATATATGAAGGCATGTTGAATCCTTCCCACACTCTTGCAATATTTTAAACAATGTTTCTAAAGTCTAAACATTCTAAAAGAGCACACAATGTCATAATTTCAGCTCCCTGCCTCCTCTGCTCTTTGCCACCTGCAAGCGCTCTTGACCACGCCCACTTCGTTCTTCACGGTGAACAGCTGATCAGCTGCAGAAGGAAGTTTATCCTGCAGTGTGGGCTGCACAATGGTGCATGAGGAAGCTTCTTCTGCAGCTCTGGGCTGCAGCTGGTGCTAAATAATTTAAAATATTTTATATTAATATATATTAATTTTAAAGAAAAAATCCATGCCAGTTGTGTGGCTCATCCATCAATCAACCAATTGTGTGTCATGTTCAATCTTATTTTGAAAAATCACAATAGTAGTGAGGGACTACTGTACTATGAGAAAACCCACGCACGCACGGAAAGAACATGCACACTCCACCCAGGGAGGCCCCCGGCCTGGATTTGAGCCGACGACCTTCTTGCTGAGAGGCATCAGCTCTACCTCTGAGCCACCATGCCGCTGCCCTCTCACTTGAAGCCTTTAAACAATTTAAGATACATTTATTTTTAAAGCTTTCAATTGAGATTGATGGTTTGGCTTTTAAGCATTTTCTTTCATTGTGTCTTCTTTTTATACAATGTGTTTATTTTACCTGTTGTTTAATGTTCTTTTTTGCATGTCATGTCTTGGTTGTAATTGTTTTATTTTAAGGTTTTATTGTTCAGCGCGTTGGTCTAAATGTGCTCTGTAGTTAAACTTGATTTGATTCTCGTAACTCTGTAGCTTGTGACATGCTAACAAGAACACGGCAGCCACATGCACGTGTTTACCCTAACAGATATGTGTGGATAAAGCAGGAGGACGGAGACAACAGTGAAAGGTGACAGCATTTTCTTTTGTGTGGGATGACCTCGTTCTCCGCAGGTTGCCGTGGCAGCTTTGGCCTGTGTCTCTACCGGCCATCTGGCCTCACTTGTCTCCACTGTGAGCAAATACCAGCCGAGTGGCTCACTGACATATTCTGAATGTGTGATTCAATATTGGAGGTAGTTGTAAGCCCAGGATTAACCTACAGCATCCTTCATTTCACTCTAGCAAAGCAGCCACCTGCCACTAGTTCCATTCACCTGCTCCCCATGATAATCTTCTAGTTATTATCCGACTCAGTCTGCAAACAATAATTACAGCAAACATTTGATCTTGTGTCAGTGTGCCTCTTAATGCACATGAGCCATAGGTGTCTTTGAATAAGTGGGGATGTATATTGTAAATAAAAAACAAAATGTTTGCACATCTCATAAACCCATGTTTTATTGACAATATAAACATAATAAACACATCAAATATCAAAACTAATACATTGTATATCGTAAACATTTTAATTAAGGTAATTTTGAATTGAATGGCAGCACATTTCTAAAAAGTTGGGACAGGACCATATTTACCACTGTGAGGCGTCAACTCTTCTTTTAGCAATGGTCTGTAAATATTCAGGAACTGAGGAGACCAGTCGCTGCAGACACTGGAGTCTTCTAGTTTCATGTTGCATATTATTTTATTTGTTCAACAATCCTGGGTTGTCTTTGCTGGATATTTAGCTGGATGGGAGCACATATTCTTCTAAAACATTGTTATATTTTGACAGTGCCTTGTCAGATGTGCAAGCTGCCCAAGGCACGGATGTACCCCCATACCATCAGAGAGGCAGGCCTTTGGATTGTGTGCTGACAACAGACTGGGTGAGCTCTCTCCTTTATAGAAATGAGCATGGACCAGTGGTATGCTGACAAATCTGGCCATTTTGAATCAAAAGTACCAGCAGGACTCAAGGCTGATGAGAAATAACAGGTTGCCTGTAAAAACAATCAACAACTGTGGCTTATCTGAATCTGACTCCCCGGTTCGGCCTTAAAGCAGGCCGACTTATCGAATTTCTTCTGGGGTATGTGTAAACTAAAGAAGGCTCAGTTCTATGCTCCATCCACACCCCCCACCCCAACCCCAGGACATTCTGTGAATGCTTATCAGAGCTGCACCGGCTGACACCAACATCTTAACAGGACTATGGCGCTATCTGGAAGTGTTTCATGGACAAATCTCAGTCTAGTTGTCAAATGCATATGTAATGTGTCTATTAATGTGTTTGCTGGTAGAGTTTTTTTGATGTCTTAAATTGTGTCCTGATAAGGACAATGTGTGAAGAGATCTTTGTTGTAATACCACTATCCTCTCCTCATGGTCTTTTCTATCTAAAGAATAAGGGGCCGCGCTCTTAGGAGCAGCAGTAACATGCACTCCGTCCATCTTTCGGACAACTCTACAAACATAATATCACTGTACTGTACTACGATGCAATGATAATAAAGCTTATTCTGATTCCAGAGAACATAACATTTGTGGTCTCAAGAAAAAATTACAAATTTCCAGTTTTTCTGACTGCAAAAAACACTTTTCCACTTTGCCTCAGTCTATTTTAAACAAAGTTTGGCACCGAAGAGCTGGGAGTGTTTCTGGATGGTGTTCATATGATTGTTATCTTTGCATGATAGAGCTTTAAACTAGTATTAGTGGATGGTACGGTGAACTGCTTACAGACAAGGATTTGTGGAAATGTTCCTGAGCCCATGCACTGATAACAGAATCAGACTTTTTTTTTTATTTTAGTATAGTGTAGGGCCCAAAGATCATAAACAGTATTGTCTTTCAGCCTTCTCCTTTTAGCGCAGAGATTTTTTACAGATCCTTGAAATATTTTGATAATAAGAACTGTAGATGATGGTATAATCAAAGTATTTCTAGTTTCCCATCAAAATGTTCTATTTTTAGATAGGTTTTCTGAAATCAAGTACCTCTGCCCATCTTTATGTCTCAGTACAATTCATTGTTTTCATACTTTTACAGACCTGCTGCCAATTAACATAATTTCTTGCCCAAAATAATTTTTACTTGTTCCACTTACTTTTCCAGGCAGGTTGGAGACAAGTTTCAGGAATGATTTGTGACAAAAGAGTGTCAGCAAAGATCAAACGAAAAGTTTGCAAGACAAGTGTTGACACCAGCTGTGTTGTACGGTCTGGCAGTGGCATTGACAAAAAAACAGGAGAAAGAAGTGGAAGTGGCAGAAATGAAGATGTTGAGGTTCTCCTTAGGAGAGACAAGGATGGATAAGATCAGGAGTGAGGTCGTCAGAGGTACAGCACAGGTTGAACAACTGGGAGATAAAGTTAGAGAGGCCAGACTGAGATGGTTTGGAGGAGGGACCGTGGATATACTGGTAGAAGGATGTTAGAAATGCATCTGCCAGGAAAAAGACAAAGAGGAGATATATGGATGCAGTTAGAGAGGACATGGTTGGAGTGAGGATGCAGAGGACAGAGTGAGATGGAGGAGGATGTCCCTCTGAAGAGGGAAAGGCTGAAAGAAGAAGATGAAGAAGAAGTTCCACTCACTTTTACAGCCTGTTGTTGTCCCATGTCCCGACATCAAGATGTAATGTTGGCTTGAATTTGAAGAAACTGCAAAGGAAATGTAACAAATCGTATTTTCAACAATCACACAACTTTCATTAAAAAAGGTTTATGAGATTTACAAATGATTGTCTTCTGTTTTTATTTACATTTTACACATGTTCCATTTTTTGGGGGGTGTGGGGGGGGGGGGGGTGTACTGGTACATTCACATTATAGTCTCTTCTTGTATTCCAAGCACAGTGCAGCTCAGTTAACAGCATTTTTTTTGTTTGTTAATTCTGTTCTGGATTATCAGACAAACTAAATGTTAAACCACACATCTCCATCCTGATGTCCATAATCTCGACACGTGCTGATTCATTGCAGTCTCTGAATGTGATGATTTGGTAATGCTCGCCGTTAGGGGGCGTATAGTGCCCACATATAACAGCCAGTTGAAAGACACCCCCCCCC